AGCGAAGATAAATGCCCTCGCGCCCCAACGCCAAGAGGAAGCTATTCTCGGCGAGCGCTTCGGGCGGATTGCCGCCGCAGAAGACAGATACGCACGTGCTTTTAGCATCCTCTGTGGTCATGCCGAGCTCCTCGCATACTGCAGCCGCGTCCGTGGAATATCTACGGAGACGCTCAAACTTGGCTGCCTGGCGCTGGCCCAGCGCAAATTCGACTCGCTCTGCAATCTGTGGGGCCAGCGTGAACGCGCATTTCTTGATGTCCCAATCATCGACGTCTCTCAGCCCGGCCAGACGAGCGGACCAATTCAGGCTCTGGGCACCGAAGCCGACCACGTACCTTCTGGACGGCACATCGAACTTCGTCTGATATGTGGTAGGGACTTGCGTTGTCTCAGGTACACCGCCGCCCTGCCCCGCACCCGCCAAAGCTTCGACGTGCTTCGCCACTGCGTCTGCAACGGACTCTCGGGCTCGCAGGAACTGCAGCAGGTCGGCGCGTTTCTCCGCATCGTCTGCAGTTTTCCTGCCGATCCTGCCTCGTTTCTTCGGCCTCTCGGCCCCCTCTCCGCCGAGGTATCTGATGAACGTCTCCACGTCGTGGACGCGGGCAGCGCTGCGGACGTATTCGATGAGGTCTTTGCAGCGAATTGTTTCCACCAGCGCCGGTCCAACGAGGTCGCGATCTGCTGAGCCGAGATCTGCCATGGTTCCGCTGACCTGTAGTAGTGGCACGTATACTGGATGCCCGCGATGCGCTTTCCTCTCGAAGATCAAGTGGCCGCGCTCAACGAGGCGCGCGAACGCGGCCTTGCGCTCATCATTAGAGCCGCCCACGACATCAGAGCCAAATTTGTGCACAAAGTCGTGTTCGGAAATGCTCTCATAGTTGCGATCCAGAGCAGCCCGTGCAATCCGAACTGCAAGCAAACGATCAGCATCTGTCGCGGCCTGGACAGGGTCGAATGCCGCGGCTGCTGCGCGGGGGGAGCATGCGGGATTCGCTTCATGGGGGGAGGCCGCGGCCCCATGAAGCGATTCCCGCAAGCTCGGGGGGAGCATGCGGGATTCGCTTCATGGGGGGATGGCCGCTCAATACGAGACAATTCTAAAAGGAATCAGAGGTCGGCAGGTTTTTTTATATAAAAAAAAACTTTTAAATCGAAAAACCAAGTTTCGCCTGAGACTCCCTCCAAACTTTTGAAATCCACTGGGCGCCGCTGCTGTGAAATTCTGAAGGAGTCTCAAGCGAAACCTGGATTTTCAATAATTGTTCATTGGTTTTTTAGTTAAAAACCAGGTTTCGCTTGAGACTCCTGCAGAATTTCACAGCAGCAGCGCGCAGTGGATTTAAAAAGTTCGGAGGGAGTCTCAGGGGAAAAGAAAAAAAAAAAAAAAAAAAACTGTCTACCTCTGATTCCTGTAGAATTGCGTCGTATTGAGCGGCCATATCCCCATGAAGCGAATCCCGCATGCTCCCCCCGAGCATGCGGGATTCGCTTCATGGGGGGAGGCCGCGGCCCCATGAAGCGATTCCCGCATGCTCGGGGGGAGCATGCGGGATTCGCTTCATGGGGAGATGGCCGCTCAATACGAGACAATTCTAAAGGAATCAGAGGTCGGCAGGTTTTTTAAATTTTTAATTTCCTTAAATGTTTTAAATTTTGAAAGTCGAAAAACCAGGTTTCGCCTGAGACTCCCTCCGAACTTTTGAAATCCACTGGGCGCCGCTGCTGTGAAATTATGAAGGAGTCTCAAGCGAAACCTGGATGTTCATTAATGTTTCATTGGTTTTTGTTAAAAACCAGGTTTCGCTTGAGACTCCTTCAGAATTTCACAGCAGCAGCGCCCAGTGGATTTAAAAAGTTCGGAGGGAGTCTCAGGGGAAACCTGGTTTTTCGATTTAAAAGATGTAAAAAATTAAAAACAAAAAATAATAATAAACAAAAAAAACCTGCCGACCTCTGATTCCTTTAGAACTGCGTCGTATTGAGCGGCCATCTCCCCATGAAGCGAATCCCGCATGCTCCCCCCGAGCATGCGGGAATCGCTTCATGGGGCCGCGGCCTCCCCCCATGAAGCGAATCCCGCATGCTCCCCCCGAGCATGCGGGAATTGCTTTATGCTGAGGCGTTCCCTTCAGAAGCAAACGCTTCCCTCATGCCGACCCCGCAACTTGCGTCGTCGCATCTTCGTTTTCGGCGTTGCTTGTTGTTGAGATGTTGTTCCCTCCGAGGGGACTCCCAGAACACCCCGTTCTCCAAAAATGACGGCCGCGACGCCCTCTCGCGAACCGAAAACGGCCAATTCCTTAATCGACGTGTCAGGGCAGGAGGTCTATCCACCCCCGAAAAAAAAAAACCATCGAAAAGCACTGCTCTCTGCACTATTTTGGGAAGGGGGTCTTTCGAACTCTCCCTCCCGCAGATCGACGTGCCCGACGCAAGCCGGAACCCCTGTCGTGCACTGACTACCTACCAGACCACCCCAACCCAACCCGAAGACCCGAATTTGAATCGAATTTCGGGTTGGGGGGGGTACGGGTTCCGTGTGTTTTTTCAGTGTTCCCCGACCCCCCCCCACTGGAAATCCAGGATAAATTTGGGCCTTCGGGTTGGGTTGGGGTGGTTTGGTGGGTGGGCTCGGCGCTCGAGCGCGCGGCCCCCCCCGCGGGACGCCCTCCGGGACCGCAGGCCCGGAGTCTCGGCGTTCGCCTGGCGGCGAGCGCTCTCCTGCTCGGCGCCTTGGCACCGCGTGGGGGCCGTCCATACTGATTTCGCAACTGCGTGGGGGGGGAGCCCCACCTCCTCCCACTCCTCCTGCTCCTCCTCCTCCTCCTCCTCCTCCTCCTCCTCCTTCTCCTCCTCCCCCTCCTCCCCCCCCTCCCCCCCCCCCCCCTCCTCCTCCTCCTCCTCCTCCTCCTCCTCCTCCTCCTCCTCCGCCTCCTCCTCTTCTTCTCCACGAGGAGGAGGAAGAGGAAGTGGAGGAGGAGGAGTAGGAGCAGTGCCGTGCGTTTCGCCACTGCGTGGGGGGGGACCCAACCCTGAGACCCCAGGCCGTCCATTGATTTCTGTCGTGGGGACGTCACGCTCTCCACATCCGGAGCATCGCACCCAAGAAACCCAGGGCGCCCCGGTGGCAGGCAGGGTGGTTCTTGGCATGGGTCCCCACTGTAGGCGAGCGTTGTATTTTGTACTCGGCGCTTCGACATTGGGCGGAAAGGGGGGGGGAGGGGGGGAGTCCGGCTCCGGACCTCTGCTGAGTGCGACTGCTTGCAGCGGTGCGCCACACGGTGGAAACTGCACCTGCTTGACACAGGCGCCAGAAACAGCCAAGATCTACTCCATGGGGCGGGGAGGAGGAGGAGGAGGAGGAGGAGGAGGAGGAGGAGGAGGAGGGGGAGGAGGGAGGAGGAGGGAGGAGGAGGAGGCGGGAGGGCGGGGGGCGGGAGGAGGGAGGGAGGGAGGGAGGGAGGGAGGGAGGGGGGAGGAGGAGGAGAGGAGGAGGAGGAGGAGGAGGAGGAGGGAGGAGGAGGAGGAGGAGGAGGAGGGAGGAGGAGGAGGAGGAGGAGGAGGAGGAGGAGGGGGCGAGGGGCCGCGCCGATCGGCAGAACAGTGAAGAAGAAAGCGACGGCCCTTGCGCCCGGAACCCCAGCCCTGGCCGGGGCACGTGGCGCCACGCTCCCTTCGAGCGTTTGACCCCCTGCCGCTCTCTCCGCGCCCGCACATCGGTCTCTCTCTCCCTCTCTCTCTATCCTGTTTGTCGCGGCCTGTGGCTTCTCTCGCTTGGGTTAACGTCTGCTGCCCACATTCAGATTGAATAGCTCAAGAAAGCCCCTAACCCTTGTGGGGGGGGACCTAGGTTAGGAGGGCCAAAACATTAGAGGCAGGTAGCCTTTTCTGAAGATGCATCAGACCAACAGGCCCAGAATCATTATCACGAATGCGAAGACGGGGGCCCCAGTGAGGCCGCGTCTTCATCGTGTTATTCGGGTTGAGTCTCTTTTGTGCTCAATGACAAATGAACCCGCCAAAAAAAGACACAAAAGAAGGTGATATCTGATGCCCTGGATGTTCTGCTGTTTTGAGATACGCCGTTTGGTGTTTCGGGAATATACCGGGGTGTCTGGAAGCTCCTCCAGCAAACGCAAAAACGGCAACCATTGGGACTGAAAGCGAATCGCAAGCATGTCTAATAATATCGAACTCGGCGAACAATGGGCGGCTAGACCCGTGACAGTGGACATACATGTTCAAACCGGGGAGGAAGTGATCGCCGAACGATCAGTCGCCCACTTTCCCCTGGCGTGGACGGCAGCAACAACAGACGTGTATGCCCTGCTGGAACTTACGGGCATCGCCGTTCGGACAGAGACAGCAGCAAACTGGATTCGAACAGGGCCTGGCAGGGGAGGCTAATGTGTATCACGTGCCAGGGGAATTTAGCTCCACCCAGCTAGCGCCGAATTACAAGTGCTACTACTTACGCTTATAAGCAATACTGGCGCCCATCGGCGCCTCTTGGTGCCCATTCGCACCTACTGGCGCCTGCAAGCACCTCGTAGCGAGCACGAAGAAGCAGCAAAGAACGTTTACAGCAGGGGGGCAACAATTCATGCTTGAATCGGCTCTGGCGCAAAACACGCATAACAACTTATTACAACACCAACAGCTGTCTTCTCTCAAACACGAAAAAGCCAACACGTTGAAGAGATCTCTTCCACCGAGAACCCACAAGGCGCACGCGCCGACCTGATCACCCCCCCGACCGTGTTCGCCCCAGAATGCAATCAGACCAGATCCCACCCAGCGGCCCCAGGGAGAATGTGGACAGCGCAGTACTCAGCAACGACGTGCACTGGTGATTACAGCCGACGCCCAGGAAGCCAGCTGGAGGGCGACGGGCGCGCCCTCAACGGTGCCGATTCAGCGGGAGCGCAGCTGCGACGTCTTCGCCCTTCGTCGCCTCTGCCGCCGCCGTGCCCTCGCCGATGCCGTCGCCG